GATGCTTGACATCATCAGTCATTAGGAAAACGCAAATCAAAACCTCAATGAGATGCTACTTCATGTCCACTGGATGGCATATTAAACAGATAACAAGCATTGGCAAGGATGTGGGGAAATTGGAACTCATACATTACTGCTGGAATATAACATGGTGCTTTGGCAAACAGCTTGCCATGTCCTCAAAATGTTGAGGACAGTTACTAAATGACCCAGTAATTTCAATCCTATGCATCTACCTAAAGAAACAACAACAAAAAATATATCCATCTAAAGCCTTGTGACTGTTCACACAGTTTTATTCATAAAAGACAAAGAAAAAATGGTCCAAATGGGTGGATGTCTATGAATATCAAGGGGCGAGGGGCAAAAGTTCAGCACTGGGTGAATGGATAAACAAAATGTGCTTACTGATGCAAGCAAACAGCATTCAGTAAAAAGGAAAAAAATACATACTGCAATGTAGAGGAAACTCAAAAACATTATGCTAAGGCACAGACACAGTCACAAAGGCCAAAGATTACAATTCCATTTATATGAAAGGTCCAGAAGAGGCACATCACTGGAGGTCATCGGTAGCTGCTTGCGCAGGGAGTGGGAACATGCAGAGACTGCAAATGGGCTTTTTTGAGGGGGCACAGGAGATGTTCTAAAACTAGATTGTGACTGCATCACTATAAACCTAAAAGCTATTTAACTATAAACTGAAAATAAGTGCATGTTACGGTACATAAATTATATCTTAATAGTTACTAAATAATAAAAAGGCAAAAAAAATGTACTCAAGAAATAAAAGCAAGTTTGTCTTTTGAAAATGTTAGTGTAAACTTTTGACATACTAATATGCACTAGTCTCTCTACCTGCTAACTGATAACTCCAATAACGTGATAAAAAAATAACAAACATTCTAGTTTAATCACAGGGACTGTTAAAAGGAAAATTCCTTAGACCAATTAAATTTGGTTGTTATCAGAGCAAAAAAAAACAGATTCATGAATGGGCAGCTCCCAGAAGGAAAGCAGGTTCTGAGAACCCCAAACAACAAATCAGACAGCATTTTAGGAAGATCACACAGCATTCACAGAAGACAGAAGTGGGATACAGAAAACAGCTTAGTCAACCATGCAATCAGTTGGCTACAGCTTAGCTGTTTACAACTCAAGTTAACTGGCTATAGGGCCTCCTGCAATCAACCAAAGTTTAGCTACTGTGATTAAACTCTGTGCTGATTTGGCCTATTGGGCCTATTCCAAGTACCAAGGCCAAATCCATGGCCCCCTACAAATTTTATTTAACAGAACCCTCCTCAAATAAAGACAACTAATCATACAGCACAATTGAAGCATTCATTTCATCATCTTCTTCATCTTGTTAGACTTGCTTAAATCACATTATTTTTAACCCTGTTCAAACCTGGGTAAGTATTCCAGGTCTATTTCTAAAAAGAGTTTTAGGTGAGACCCGCAAGAGATGGGGAAAGTTATAGTTTAATGAGAATCCATTTATTCTTGCCATGTGAGAGGATTTCCAGAGAAGACGAAGAAACAGTCAGGATTAGCAAATATAGTCAGCTCTTCTGAACAGCTGCAGACGTTTAAAATGTCCAGGGAAATAATCTTCTTAAGATTACCACCCAGGAGCCCTGTTCTCTGAGGGAGAAAATACTCTGGTGGTAAAATGAACTGGGAAAAATCAGACTTAGGACCTAAAAACAATTACACACAATTTTTTAAACATATTTTATCTTGATATTTTTCCCTTTGAGAATTTCTGCAGAACAGATATGATAAGCCTCTCAAAAGAAATACTTGCTAGGAGAAAGTAGTCCTAATTAGGATATGTGTCAAGGAAATATAATTATCAATTTGTCTAATTAAAATGAATATCTGAACATGCCTTAGGAATGCAACTCTTCTCAGGTGAGACATGCACAATTTATATTTTATAAACATCCATCCGCAGAGCCTAGCCCATTATATTAACGAGGAACAGATGACTGAAACAGAGCCTCACCTATCACACTACTGGAAGAAGTGCTGAGAATAATGTCATTCATGTAAATCACCGCTGGGAGAAAGGGCCTCAGAGCAACTGCTCTTTCACTCCGTGCACAGGTTTCAATTGAGAAACAAAATGGCTGATTCTGAAGGGGATTTCTAGTAGTGCAGGCCAGGGTCAGCAAAGCTGTGATTTTAGGGACACTTGTTTGAGTTAAATGAACCCCTCTGACAGGCAAAGTGAGTTCTGGCAAAAGAAGGGAAGAAAGAGCCAGTTCCTTTGCATTCTCTGGCAAGTCCACTTCCATAGGCTAGAGGCTGTGTTTCTGCAGAACCAAGATGGCCTTAGATACCTCTAACAGTACCTGTCAAAGCTGCCGGGCTCAGCTTACATTCACCCAGATCTCTGCAACATCTGATCCTGTAAAACATTCTGCATATGTCCTCCCACCCAGCGATGTTGTCACACCTGCTCCTGGCTTTATCTTTCAGAATTTCTGGCTGTTCCTGCTCTTAACCCTCCAATGTGGTCCTCTTAACCTTAAATACCAATGTATACTAAAGCCACAGACAGTTATGCATGTACCGTCCACTATGTCTCACTGTTCCCCTTAGCAACGCCTTTGACTCCTAAAAGAATATCATGTACTCCCCTCTCTGTGATGTTACTCATACCTTTATCACTAGCTGTGCACTGCACCCCACAAATTGCCAGCACCTCAAATCCATCTCATCAAATGTAAGCCTGTTCCTTCCTCCCTGGCATCAGCTAACATCCTGCCACCACCCAGGACCAGTACTTAAAATCCCAACTCTCACTGCAGTGCTCTCAGAGCTCATGGGTTACTCTTTGTGTAATAGCTTTGTACCTGGATTCTGAGCCCCTGAAGGTTTAGTATGTGACCCCACTCCCTGCCATTTTCTATTTTCTACAAGACACCGCAGAACATTATATTTCTCCAAACTAAACGGAGAAAAATAGCAGAGTAATCCGTAACTCTCCTATACTGAGGTGGGGGACATATACTTGGTGCAATCACTTTGGAAGACCATTTGATAATAACTGGTAAAACTAGGGATGATTATATCCTACAACCCAGAACTCTGCTCCTGGGTATACATCCTAGAGAAACTCTCCCACACGTCCACAGAAAGACTTGTACAAGAATGTTTCTAACAGCACTGTTAACAAGAGTGAAAAAACAACTAAATGGCCATTGTATCAGTCAGGATCAAAGCAGGAAATTGCTGGCATACTCAAACTAGGATAAATAAAGGAAGATTTTAAAGGGAATTATTTGGGATACGTTGGGCATGGAGAAACTACAACAGTGTAGTACTCCACAAACAGAAAAGCAGACCTGCTATCACTTGTATACCTACAAGGAAGAAGGGAGGGTGTGTTGCTACCCAAATCTGGAAAAAGAGTCTGAGAAAAAAAAAAAAAAGACTATTGAGAGAAGCAGCAGCTTCAAGGGAGGAATACAGCCAGTGCAACACAACTACACAAGAAGTGGTGTAACAAATATGCTGACTTGGGCTTTCCCCTCCCTCTGGTCTCCAGCTGGGGCTTCCTGATGGTTGAACACAAGGGAAGCTAAAGGGCAGGGAGTCTACTGGTAATAGCCCATAGAAGTCAACCTGCTGGAGCACTGTGGAAAAGGGGGAGAGATTTGGAAAGGCAAAGGTAGAATAAAGAGGCAGGCAAATTTGAAGACTCTCAACATATCCATCCACAAAATGTATAAAGCATATATTTATAAATATACGCATCCATTTATAAATACATAAATATTCATAAATATTCCCCAGTAGGAAAATGAGGTAAGTGGAACTACTTATTTCACTACAGATAAATCTCAAAGATGTCATGTTGATGAACAAGGTCAAGCCCCACTACAGAATGGCACCATAGCAGGCATGTTTTCCCAAATCTGCCACACATGGATTTCTGGCTGCACACAACTTCCAGAATCTTGCCACTCTCCCACCAAGAGTTGCAAAGAAGGAAAAGAACGAAGTTCAAGTAGAGAATTACAGGACACACCTACATTGGCTAGGGAGGTAGGAAAGTCCTAGGAAGCAAATGAACTTTCAAGTTGAGAAGGAGCCAGTCCATCAGAGCTACCAGTATCTGTGGTAGCTCCGAAGAGCAGGTGCCAAGACCCTCAGAAGGGAAAGGGCTTGGCCCTTTTAAGCACAAATCAAGAAAACCAGTGAGGCAGGAAAACTGGGCAAGGGCGAATGGGCGTTAAGCCAGATCATGCTGGGCATTTGGATGATCTCCCTGGGGTTGTAAAGCTGGGGAAATAAAAAAAAAAAAAAAAGGAATGGGAACCTCACTTCCTCTTGACTTGTGGCTGACATTCGCTGGGCGCCTAGCATGTAGTGACAGTGGGTTACACAGCTACTCTGATCTGTGGACACTCCCAACAGATTACCTCCGTCCCGCATCCTGGGGGACCGTCACGACTCTGGACGCCCTGCCACTCTACAGTTAGCACGGACAGCTGCTGCTAACCCAGCAGCGAAAGACTCCATCTCAGTAAGCAACCCCAACAGCGAGGTGCACGGTGCCCCGTGGTGAACGACTTCCGGAAGGGCACGGCCTCCAGGAGCGCTCCTCCAGCGCCGCCTACGACCCCCGAGGCCTCCCGTCCTACAGACGGGGAAACTGAGGCCGGGTCCGCTGAGGGCCGTGGACGAGGCAGGGCTTGGAACTGCGGAGCCCGAGCTACTTCTAACTCCGCTCGGCCGCTTCCTCTTACTCTCCCCCCTCACACTGCCAGGCCCGGGCCAGCGAGGACGCCGGCGCGAACGCCTAACTCGGACCCGCCTCTCCCGCCGTGGGAGCGGGCAGTGCGGCCCCTATTGCGGTCCCCGGTCACGAGTGCAGCCCGCGATGGGATCCGGCTGGAGGCGCGCGCGCCGGGACCGAAGGCTCCCCTGGCGGAAGGTTCCGCATCTCGGCAGATCTTTTCCTAGGCGAAGGCCGGCGGTACCTGAGGAAAACGCGTCCAGGGTCCTGCCCCGGGCTCTGTGGAAAACATCCCCAGCCTCCGCAGCAGACATGGCGAGCGAGTTTCTGGCCAGTCCGGCGCACGCTGCGTGGGAGGGAGCAGCCACCCCACAGCGCCCAACCGCTGCGTGCCCAACTCTGGGCGGTGCCCTCTTCTCGGAGGCGGGGCGGGGCGGGGCTCGGCCCCTCGGGGCGCCTCTAGTGCTGCCTGGGCGGGACCGAGGCTCGAGCCGCCGCTCGGGGATGGACCTTGGCCCCTAGCGAGAGGAGGCCTGGTGTCTGGAGCCCCCAACGCACAGCCACTGCCTTTGGGTTCAGTCTTTGGGGTTCCTCAAAGGTAGAGTTGCCAAGTTTCACAAAGAAAATTCCAGCAACCCTCCCCCATCACCCCGTTAACTTGGAATTTCAGATAATTTTTTTTTTTTATGTAGTGTAAGTATATCCCATGCAATTTTGAGAGATACTTATGCTCATTTTGTTTTTCATTGTTTATCTGAAATTACATTTTAACTGGAAGTCTTGATTTGTATCTTGATGGATGGCCACGCTATCTCAAGGTCCCAGCACAGCCCTAAAGGTAACATAAAGTCTTTGCCTGGTTCTGCCCCAGCCTGCCTGTCTGCAGCCATAACACTGCAGCCACACCAGCCTCTCAGTTCATTAAACATGTAAATCCAGGTCCCTCTATTGCATATGCAGTTCTGTCTGCTCCTGCTGAGCCCCTTGGAAGATCAAGGCCTGTCCTGAAATGACGCTGCCATGGTGAGGCCTTACCCCACACATTCGCAACACTCTCTCCCATTCTAAACCAAGTCTCTCTCCTGCTTCATTATGCCCCCCCTCCCTCGTTCTTGTCCCTCGTTGCACTTTGCATAGTTGATAGTTCCATGTTAATAGGTGGAGTTCTTTAATATCTTCTTTCCCATCTCAACTGAAGGTCTGTGGGGGCAGCTAGCTTGACTGTCTTGCTGTTGCTTGAATAAATAAATGGATGAAGATATGAAAGTTTCATTTTTGCTTGAGGATTAAATAAATCTGTAGTCAGCATTTTCAGATCAATCTAAGTGCTTGATACATTTTTGCTATAGTGGATATCATTAGGACTGTTGTTACTATTGTCATTATAATTGTTAATGTTGGAATATCCTCCAATTCATTATTTTCTAGTCGGAATCCTATTCCTCTTTCAAAGTTCTCTTCAGGTGTAACATTTAAAAATCAATCGAGCTTCATTTCATTGCAGATAATCAAAAGTTTGTTCAAATTGGCTTAACTGGAAAAAGAAATCCATTGGCATGCATAAATTAAAACATGACAGCAGCTTCAGGAGCAGTTTGACCCCTTACCCATATGATGTTGTTAGAAACCAGTTTCTCTCTATTTGCCTTCTCTGCCTTTTGTAACTTTGGCTTTGTCTTTGCTCTTCACAGAAAGGACTCCCTCTCATCACTTGTAAGCTCCTGTCTCCTCCATAGGAGCAAGAGGACTGCAGAGGTTCCAGAGCACATCCTCTGGAGACACCACCCAGGGAGGAGAGGAAAGAAGTCTCTTTTTTCTCAGAAGCCCCCAGCGAACAGCTGTTCATCCCTGCATGCCAGTAGATACATGCTCCTCTCTGAAGCAAGGTCAGAAGGTAAATGGTGCATTTGGATTGGCTCCAGCCATCAGGGCTACCCAGGAGATGGAGGGGCCTCAATCTCACCCCAGCCACGTGCTGGGAATGAGGAGCAGAGTCCTCTTAAAATGAGATCTGGAGGCTGTTGCCCCGAGAAAGCTGATTTTTAAGAAAAGCCATGTTATGATTTAGATGTGAACTGTCCCCCAAAACCTCATGTGTGAGACAACGTAAGAAGGTTCAGAGGTCAAATGATGGGGTCATGGGAGCTGGAACCTAATCAGTGGATTAATCTCCTGATGTGGATTAATTGGGTGGTAACTGTAGGCAGCAGGGTGTGGCTGGAGGAGGTGGGTCACAAGGGCCTGTGGATCTTTCTCTCTCTGCTTCCTGGTGCCCTGTCCTGAGCTGCTTTCCTCCTCCATGCTCTTCTGCCATGATGCTCTGTCTCACCTCGGGCCCAGAGAAGTGAAATTGGCTGATGGTGGACTGAAGCTCTGAAATCATGGCCAAAATAAGCTTTTCTTCCTCCAAGTTGTTCTTGTCAGGTCTTTTGGTCACAGTGACGAAAAAGCTGACAGAAACAAGCCATTCCGTTTCTCATGTGGAATGAGCACAGTGAGGAGGCTGTCAGCCAGTGACTCCCCGTGTCCCCTCCCCCCTTCCCTCCCCCCACCCGTCCCTGAAGCAGTGACACTTATACAGTGACCAAATCCGAGTGTTGTGTTATCTGGAGACCCTCCTCTGCTATTAAGAGCATCAGTTCCTGTCTGGGGCTTTAGCACAGTCTTACTTCATGAACCGAGCAGAGCAATTTGTGCACACACTCGAAGGCCTTGGGCTGTTGGACCTTTATAGTTCTTCCGTCTGCCTTCATAGGTCACCTGTCTCCTTGAACTCGGGCTATGAGTGCCTGACCTGGCATCTCCCACTAGCAAATCCCACCACCCCGCCTCCTTCCCTTGCTTCTCATCTGCCCAGGTTTGTGAGGCCAGATGACAAATGCTGTTAGAACTATGAGCCAGGGTGACTTGTGAATTTTACCATGAGTCTTGCCATAAGTGCCTGAGGTCTCTTTTAAAGAACGGTGCTTTCTCGTTACTTCTCCTGAGACACTGTTACCTTGGCTGGGCCACAGGGTCCAGGTATTTGTTTGAACATTATTTGGACATTTCTGTAGGGATGTTTTTTGAAGGAGATTTGTATTTACATTGGGACTTTGAGTCAAGCAAATTATCCTCCATTATGTGGGTGGGCCACATCCAATCAGTTGGAGGTCTGAATGAACATTAGCCTGACCTCCCAGATGAAAGAGGGAATTTAACTAGTGGACTGCCCTTGAACTTGAACCGGAGCATCAGTGCTCATCTTGGGGTCATGAACCTTCTGGTCCACCCTACAGGTTTTGTACTGGTCAGCCTCCATAATCATGTGAGACACTTCCTTAAATTAAACCTCTTGCTGTAGATGTAGACACAGCGCATCAATTCTGTTTCTCTGGAGAACCTTAATACAGACTGGGAGGTCTTTCTTTGGAAGTGTCCAGAGCTGAGTTCATAGTTATCTGTGTTCAGGAGGGAAGGATACTATCCCCATGTAGTACCTTTGAGCTCTGTAGAACCTGGAGGGCACTAGGTAGCTAAGCACTGTGGGCGTCAGATGCCCCTCACCTTTACTTAGTCCTGACCAGCACCTGTGTAGGTGTGGCTCCGGATGGGCTGGGGATGGGAAGGGGTCTGGGAGAAAGGGCAGCCCCTGAAAAGTAGGGGTGTTTTACCTTTTAAAAAAAAAACCTGAAAATTAAATGGCTGAGTTTTTAGACTAGGACAAAATGCCATGTGTACTCTCAAAACAACAAAATGTGAATGTTATTTTTAAAAAATTACCAGCTTAGCTGATATCATCATAGACTGGGTAGAAACAAGACTTACAATTTTTTTTCCTCTGTGTGAGAGGATAGAAAAATTTATGGAAAATTCCAACTAGACCTGTGCTCTGGAGCGGAAAGCGGGTTCACGACCTTGGACCTTTCAGACATTCCTACGTCCCTCGTTATTGGAAATAAAATAATTATACATGTTATCATATAGAATTATTCCTTACAAGCGCCTGCCAAAGCGTTTCCTGCACATTCTCTTTTTATTCCAAAAACAAAATGAAGTTTTGCCTCATTTTAAAGATGAGATAATGGACCCTCTGCGAGGAGTCATCCCACTATGTGCCAAAATGACCAAGCTGAGATTCTCTCCCTCCTGCTTTCCGTCTTTGGTCATTGATTTCCATGCCTGTGGTGTTCTTTAGAACTCTGCCAGGCAGGCCTCCCTGTGCTGCCTGCCATCTGGCTTCAGGAGTTTCTTAGGACTTGACTTTGAACACTTGTTCCCATTGGACATCATTGTTCAGAAAACAACCAGGAGTTGACTCAGAGGTTAGACTGCTGACCTGGTTTTAGGATCAGATCATGTGACTTGGGGTAACTGGTCCACTTGCTAGCACTGTGGCCTTAGGCAAGTCTTTGGACTTCACCGAATTTCCTTGGCCTCACAAGTAAAGTGGGGATTTTCATGTCTGACTACAGAGATATTGGCAGAATTCAGTGACAAAGACTGTTTAAAGTATATCTCTCAGCACATACCACTTGCTCAATAAATGGCTTGTTAATATTATAGTGATTATTATTTCATAGAAGCCATTGACAACTGCCCAACTAGGCAGAACATTCAGACTCAAAGGCAGACCCAGATTGGAATAGAGAACTTGAGTTCAATAACTGTCCCTTGGGCTGGGCACAGTGGTGCATGCCTGTAATCCCAGCAGCTTGGGAGGCTGAGGCAGGAGAATCACAAATTCAAAGCCAAACATAGCAACTTAGCAAGGCATTAAGCAACTCAGTGAGACCCTGTCTCTACATAAAATACAAAAAAGGGATGGGGATGTGGTTCTATGGGAAAGTGGCCCTAGGTTCAATCCCTGGTACCAAAAAGAAAAGAAATCGTATCTGGCCAGAGTCCTTTCTTGTGTCCTGTTTATTCAGACCATGTTGTCCAATGCAGTGGCCATTGGTCACATAGGACTACTTCCATCAATAAAAATTAAATAAAATTTAAATAACAGTTTCTCTGTCACATTAGGCACATTTCAAGTTCTTAATGGCCCTGTTTATATGGTTGGAATTTGGAGGGGTGGAGTACAGGACACCCAGTTAAATTTGAATGAAATAAATTATGTTCTAGTATTATTATGGTTTAGATATGTGTCCCCCAAAAGCTCATGTGTGAGACAACGCAAGAATGTTCAGAGGTGAAATGATTAGGTTATGAGAGTTTCTAACCTAATTAGTGGATTGATCCATTGATATGAATTAATTGGGTGGTAAATGTAGGCAGGTGGTATATGAGTCTCTGGGAGTGTGCATTTGGGGTTTGTGTTTCATTATTGGTGAGCGGAGCTCTCTCTGTACTTCCTGACTGTCACATCCTGAGCTGCTCTCCTCCACCACATCCTTCTGCCATGATGCTCTGCCTTACCAAAGGCCCAGAGCTATGGAGT